AGATTTTCAAAGCTGGGATCTAGCCCCATCTCTTCAATAAAGACTTCCATCAGCATGCTAACCTACACAAAATATTACCAATGCATTATTATGTTAAATACTGATGATAGTGAATATGGGTAAGAAGTTCTGGTGAAGAATTTACTTGTTGTTGCCCTCAAGAAGTTTGCAGTCACTTAAGAGAGATAACCATAAGAGTAATTCACCATAATAGAGTCCTTAAAAACATACCATGAAAGACATAACAAAGGTATTTCCATATAAACAGAAAGCCTACATAGAAGAAGAGAATTGGAATTCAACTCAAACGATAAGCCAGTTTCAACAATCAGCTTGGGAGTGAGCAGGATGTAGGAAAAGAAAGGACTGGAAGAGGATTCAGTAATGGGTGAATAACACTCAAAAGTTCTAAAGTATAAAAATGGGATGATACACATTCTACCAGCTACTGAATAAAGATTAGAATGTGAATATGATGGAATACAATAAGCAAGTTTACGGGAAAGATGATTAAAGCACACAGTACCATAGCATGCAAGGTGCTGAAGGCCTTTGGCGGAGGGGTGGAATATTGAATGATTCTGATAAGAGATCTGACATTGCCATATTTGAGATTCAGAATGATCATGTGGTAACTTGCAGAAATTAGATCAGAAAATAGGAAACAGGGAGTCCAAATAATTTTGGAGTAAGAAGATTGATGAAGAGTTCTGGTTTCCAAGAGATTTTTAGGGCATAGGATATTCAGAACCAAAATCAGATAGTCCAAGTCAATAGCAAAATTGTTATCCTAGCCACTACAGCAGTTGTGATGAAGACTAAGTTCTAAATTTGGTGTGATATGAAAATTATAATCTGAAAGTCAGATAGGGAGTTGGCCAAGTCCTGAGAGTCAAAGACAATTTCATCATAAAGCATATGAAATGTTATTTAAAAATCGCAGCTTTTAACCGCTGAGCCATCTGTTCTTGCAGAAGACCCAGTTTCGAATCCCAGCACCCACATGGCAGCTAACAACTGTCCATAATTCTCGTTCCAAGGGATCCAACAGCTTCTTTTGTCCTCCGAGGGCACTGCACAACACGAGTGCACTTATCCATATGCAGGCATCACACTCATACACATAAAATAAAAATAATAAATAAAATATTTTTTAAATCGCAGTTTTACACAGGAGTTTCATATTCAAGAGGTAGTAGCATTCACCTCTCCTGAAACTTCGGAAAAAATGTGTCTTATTCTTCTACAAGTACCTTTGAAATTTGCACTATCTGTGAAGTTTAAACAATTCCTCTTTCCAAGTGATGTTCTCTGTTTGGAATAATAAACTCCACTCAAAGATGTACTATACAAACTTGAACCACACACTCCAACATATATCAAATGCTTATCCTTTTCATGACTTGTAGTCTCAACTAATATCCTCCCTCATCTTATTTTCTTCCTTGTATGACTTGTTTTAATACTCCAACATAAGAATTAACATCTTCCTTTTTCTCTATTCTTCTGTTATATCAATCTGTCAGACCAAGTCCACAATCTGTTTCCTTCCCTACTAACCAAATGGCAGAGTGATCCTATTGATAATACTAGGGCCTTCCTGGAAAGACACAAATAGATAAGTAACGGTCTCTTGTCTAATATTTATTTATTTTATAATCCTTACTCCAATGCATCTGATTAGTATGGTCTCCTCTTTCCTTAGTGGCTCTTCACAACTCTGCTAAAATTTCCTACTCTCTCTCTCTCATGCTCTCTCACCCCCACCTTTAACAACAGACATTCCCAGAGAATATTAAGGTGAATGGGGTAAAGAAGTTGGAGTCCAATGAACCTATACACCTAAGATTTTCAAGACCTATAATTCTTTTTCAGTTTTCAACAGGAATCTTGTATGTTTAAGTAGGATTTGATCATTTAGCACTTTTGTAGAAATAATTGTTTTGTTTCAAAACACACACACACACACACAGAGAGAGAGAGCTTTTAAGCATGATTCATTAGTATTATATCCAAAATCTTAATAGGTACCAAAAATATCTTCCCAAAAGCGACTCTCCTTCCTTTTTAATATTTTATTAATCATTTTTATTTTATGTGTATGAGTGTTTTGCCTGCATGTATATAAGCACAACACATGCATGCAATGTCAGCAGAGACCAGAAGAGGGTATTGGGTCCCATGGAACTGCAGTTACCAATGGTTATTAGCCATCATGTGGGTGCTGGGAATTGAACCTGGATCCTCTGGAAGAACAGTCAGTGTTCTTAACCACTGAGCCATCTCTCCAGCCCCTGAAATTGCCTTCCTTAACAAACTAGCTTAATGTTTTCACAAATGTACAATTCAGAAATATACAATTCAAGTAAGTGTATATAATTATGACACTGGATTTTGTCCCTAAGTCATAGTGAAATACTAAATCTAACATATTTTACTGTTTCCTATCAGTAATTAAAAAATATATAAATACATATATCAATAATTCTTAAGATATCAGAGTTATTACTAGTGTATGTTTTGTAGATCAGGAAATCTACTCTCAGAAATATTAAATGACTTCCCCAAAGTCAAACAGCTATCATAAATTCATTTGTAATAAGACTCTTAATAAAGTAGAGAAAACTGAAGTTTTCCATTGCCAGGCAATAAGTTGCATGAAGCAAAAATATTTTAAGTGGGATTTAATGTGTAAAATACTGCTCCTCAGAGATAAGTAAGCTATTGTTCTTGGTTCTAGTTGCAGCACTTTTATCTGTATGTACTATGTACATACAGCAAATGACTCCCCACCACGTGTCAGGGTAGGGTCATACCAAAATCAAGGATCTTTATGAAGTTTTGCCTTTAAACTCAAATCATAATAAATCTGCAGAGAGAAAATATGGAGCATTTTAATTTTGATAACATGAGTGAGATGAGTTGAGCAAGACTTGTAGGAAAGGGAAGACTCAAAGCAGTAGAAAGTATTTTTAAGAGGAATAGATTTACGGCTAAGAGACTTGGATTCTCCTACTCAAATACTAATTCTCTATACTGGTATAATAAATACCTTCCATTCTGTGGGTTCAATTTTCATTATTATTAAAAAAAATAAGACAGTTTTCTGGGCATTATAGAACACACCTTTAATCCCAGCACTCAAGAGTCAGAGGTAGGCAGATCTTTGTGAGATCAAATCTAATCTTATCTACATAGAGAGATGCAGGCTTGACTCATAAAACCAAACATTTCAATTTAACTGGAATGTCTTTAGGTTCTTTCTAGCTCTAACTTACCTTATCTTTATGGCTCTTGCTCCTAGTACCACTACTACTGCCACTGCCAGAGCCTGATGCAACCACTACCCATTAACTGGCAAAAGGATGCATAACATCTAGAATGTTAACAAAGCATTCTGGATAAACATGTATAATTGTCAAAAATCATTATTAAAATGATATATTATAAATGACATCATCAGAGAATAGTTTCTCTAACTTGAAATTGAGGGAGATAGTGCTCAAAGATGTAATCCCATTTACCTGAAGCTAGTGAGCTTCAGAGTCAGAATGCTGGAATTTGAGTTATTGAACTAAGGCAACATTTTTTTCCTAGTATCAGCTCCTCAAGGCATCACCTCTCTGTTCTCTTTTCAGCCCCTTCAGTAACCAGCACAACTAAACAAACATGCCTGTCAAAATTGCTCTTATTTTCCTCTAGAAAATCTGTGAGCAATCTGTGGCAGTCTGTGTTTGTTTTCTCAGAGGAAAAGAAATTAAAAAGGGAAAGAAAACTATATGTGAAAAACAAAATCAATGTCTGTGTTATTTGTTAGAAAAATGACACATGGCTTCATGGGATGCCAACTAACCTCAAACAAAGATAGGCCACCAAGCACCACCTCAAACTTCTCAAAAATGTGTTCATTCCCCTGGCATTTTATGTTCCTCCACTACTAGGATTTAGTAGTCCATACAACTTGAATGGAACAACTTTCTCGGTTAGGCCCTAAAAGGAACTACATTTTACCAAAGAAGGACCTGTATTCAACAAGAACCACTGCAAGAGTAATTGTCCTAAATTTATGACCTGATTCTCTCAGTATAGTTTAGGCCATTAGTAACCTCAGTATACTTCCCTATCACTCACTTGTGAATAATTTTACTGTACTTTAGTTGCCTAAATCAATATAAATAGTATAAGCATAAATAGTAATTATTCTCTGCATCCACTTAAGCAAACAAAATAAAAATATCCTCACTTGAAGATTTCTAAGAACTGATACTATCTCCCAGAAAAAGCATGGCAAAGTTAATTATCATTCTACCTACACCAATCCTGGAGTAAAATGACTTCACACAGTCTACCCCAACAAGAAGCTTCCTTTGACTCGCTCATACTAGTTCCACACCAGAGAAGTACTACACTACTGAGACCAATTACAATAATCCCTGAAAAGATAAATGCCTCACGTCTGGGCTCTGCTGTCAAGTAGAATTGAAGTGAAAAAAAATAGACTTTTGAAAAACCAGGAAATACCTCCGAACAAGGTCTGAAATCATATGATACATTTTCTATTTTCCTAATACAAAAATTAAAAGGATCACAGATTTATTTATAATATTCTCTGAAAGACACAGTCTTCTCTAGGGGAAAGAGGAACATGAGTCAAAGACTTGGTTCCTAGCTCTAATACTGACAATTATCTGAATGACCTAAGTGGCTTCATCTCACTGACTCTCAAATTCCTCATCTGTATTGGGAGGAATTTTCATCTTTAAGTGTCCTTTTAGCTCTGATATACGTACTCTGATATTGCTTTTACTTATCCTAAAGGAAGATGCTAGTTGTCTCAGTATCTCAGCAACCTAAACTTACCAAATCAAGGAACTTATATCTAAAAATCCCTTCACTATGTAACTAGATAAATTATACACACCAGAAGTTCAAATTTTCCTTTACTGTTCAGTATGCCAAATTGTTGTAAATGAGACTCACTAAATATAACCCTTACTTACCACTTTGTGCCATCCATCATTCTCGGTCCTCTCTACAAAGAGCCGTTAGCAGGAAGTGCGTTATATTACATACTTCATGCTTCTGTTGTAATGGTGCAGGCTGATAGCATGAACCTTAACTTTGGTCCCTTGCTGGACTGAAAAGCAATCCTGTTTTTTCTCCTGTAAAAATTCTGAGATGAGAAACCAGGAACCATTTCATTTCAAATACTGACCTAACATCTGCCACTGTTATGATCTTCCTATTTCCACCAACCCTCCCTCACAAAACCACAAATTTCTAGGTGCTAGGCTATAACTTACCCTGATGCTGAGACGGGATAAGCACTCTTGAATCTTTGCAAGGAGCTACGAGTATAAAAGCACAAGTCTCAGTGGCGTGCACATATACTGCTGATAACTGAAAAACTGGTGTTGAAAGAGGAAGATGCGTATATTGGTGTCTCACCACAGACTTTGTACAGACCAAAGGTAAGTCCCTTGAGCAAATGACACTAGTCAAGTTTTATTTCTTTTTTATTTCATTGGTGCCCAGAAATGTTAAAAGGGGGGAGTCAGGGGCTAAGAACAAACAACCAATGCATCCCAGTCTTCTTCACCATTCCACCACAACCCAAATGTTTTTTCTTACTACATTCCAGTGAGGTTTGTGTCAAAATGAGATTTTTAAGACAAATCTGAAAACAAGTTTACCTAACAACTGGAAAGTTGCTACTCCTTCAAACTTGAGAGACAAAGACAGAGGAAATGCTAAAATACAAGTAAAAACTACAACAGGACCAAAATTGCTTAATTAAGCTTTGATTCTATCTGGAGTACCCTTCTCTCAACCTGTCCATCCTAGATTCACATTGCAGTGTGTTGTTTAGTTGTTTTGAATATTTAGTATGATTTTACTGTGCTGAAAATTTTTGAGAGCAAAGACTGCATCTGGATTATCTTTGAATTCCCAACTAGTCTAGCACAGGGCATTTTCATGAATATTGGTTGCATGAAGACTAAGAAAATGGTTGAATAAATAAGTACTCAAAGAATTCACATGTAAATAACTAAATAAAAAACAGTATTGAGTACAGAGTCTCTGTCTAATATAATAATATTCTGATGATTATGTGAAATGTCTATGGGACCTTCACAAATATGCAAATAAATATCATACACTTAAAAACAGTAGTTTCAGCTAAGTCTGAGAATAATTCTGAGAAACAAGGATTACAAAGTAGTACAAACCTCTACAGGCATGTCAGCCAACCACCCTCAGAATGCAGAGCCTACAGCTGCAAAGAACTTTCTGGGTAATAACCATAGTAAAGGAGAAAAAAAAAGTCTTGTGGGTTAGTTCAAAGAGTAACATTTCGATTCACAGATAAGACTGATGAAAAAAGGAAGTGGATGATGATATTCTTGTAGGAGGGCAACCTGGATCTGCAACAGCTCATTTTGCAACAGGCTCATCTCGTAAAACCAGAACCATTAGAGAGCTACGTGGAGCTAGGCCCAACACAGGGATATCCAGTAAAAACCACAAGGGCATCGACTGATAGAAAAGAAATGGTTTTAACATTGGAAACTAAGAGCTTGGGCTGATTGATGATAGGACATGACTTGTGAAGACTGGCAAAGGGATAGGGTGTCCATCCTGGCTCAAGTATGTCAAATGAAACAAGCTTGACCCTGCAGTCCCCTTCTTAATTCTGATTTCATATATTTATCCAGCTCCAATCTGTTGTTAATTTAGTTTTTTGACTTGGCATCCTTACTGAAAGGAGAATAAGATGACAAGCCAACACACATCTCAGTCCATTTGGCAGTTCTCTTCTTTACTATAAATTATTAAATTGGCGTTGGGATACAAATCTATCCCTTGCGAGTTTGAGCATTGTGAGCCAGTTTTCTAGGGTATTATCCTTCTCTGAACAAATAAAGTTCCAGACCTGTCGAACTTTCAAGCCAAACCCTGGGACAGAGGGAGAAAGAAACCCTTTCTTTACTATCGGCTATCATCACCACATTCCTCATTCATTTCACATAAAATTTCTTAGCATTGCTAGAAGAAAGCATGAGTACTTACCTCATTTTTGTCTTGCTTGCAAGTAGCCTCACCTATCATTGGCTTTAAGAAGGAGAACAAAAATTAGAAGTTAGTAAATCAATTCAATAGAGAAACTTCAGTTCAGGTTAATTTGTAGGTTATTTAGAAGGAAAAAAACGCTGTGGACAAACAGAAGAACCTGGCAACAGTCATCTGCAATGAAAGTTTTCTAGTTTTTGAGTGTAATTGATGGCCTGGGTGTAAATATTCCACCCATAACAGCCGAAATGTAGTGCAGCTGTTCCATCTTACCCACCATCCAGAATGCTCCCATTCTTCTTTTGTAGCCCCACAAGTCTTACTTAATGTATTATATATTCCCTGGGCTAGGGAAGGTTTACAATTTGATATATCAAAGACTTCTTGGTCTCACTAAGAATAGCATTATGTAAGTAATAATAACTGTTGTTAGAGACATTAATGCCATCTATTGTATTTTCTTAGAGGATCTACCAGAATTTAAGATTATTTTTAAAATTCATTTCTTGAGTTTGCATGGGCCTTATGGATGCTGAAACCATTGGTGTAGGTTCATATTAGCAGAGTCCCAGGAGCCTGTAAGACTATTTCCATATGGTCATGGACCTCCTGCCTGGCTCTTACAATTTTTCTGCCCCCTCTTCCACAATGGTCTGTGAGCCCTCTGTGGGTGGAGTTTAATATAGGAGTCCTGTCCAAGGACTGTTAGTTTTCAGACCTCAGTGGATGAACTTGCATTCTGCATACTGTTAGTTTTCAGACCTCAGTGGATGAACTTGCATGGAGGGATGTCTGGGGACACTAACTGGACTCAATAGGCCTTAACACAAATACAGAATGCAACAATTCCAGAGGGGAGCTATGGGAGGGTGCCAATGCGGAAGGGAGTATAAAGATGATTAAGATGTTCTGTATGAAATATACAAAAATTTAATAAAAATTACAAAAGACTCTCATTTCTAACCATATATCTGTAGGATATATCTATATCCATAGACTATTTCTATGCAGTTCTTTAGAATTTATCACTCATCAAATACTTACTGAACTATGACAACAAGCAGCTTTTTCCAATGCTGAGTGAAGGTTGTGGGATTTAGAATAATAATATATGACTTCTGGTCTCAAAGAGTTAGATTATGACAGGTTGGTCATAAATAAAATAACTAGGAAGCATGCCAAAGCATATAGTGTGCTATTAAGTTATGTGGAAGATGAGAGTAATTCACCTCAGGATTAATCTGTTTGGGAAAGCAAGTTAATAATGTATGTTCAATAAACAATTTTTTATATTAAGTTGTGCTTCTCAATGAGAAGAGCACGTTTTTCTGGAAACCTACCAGGTTTATAAATTTTCAGGGGCACAAGGAACAGTTTTTTTTAGTTTCTAAATCATCTGTCTTAAGACTTTAAATGCACCAAAAATGAATTGAAATCTGTTATTTCATGGGTGACTTTTTTAGATGAATCTATAATATGGACCTAAGTTTTTAAAATTGTAATATATAAGCTCGCTGAAACACAGTTGCAAATGTATAGAATGTAAGCAAATACAGCAAAACCCTGAATAATCTTCAGAGTTGCTGACATGCAGCAAATTAGCAAATACAATAAGATGGAAATAGGAAAGTAATTCTAGGAAAAAATATATTACCAAGTACACAAATGGATAGTAATCATGTACATGATTGTGTAATGTTGAGCACAACTTTTTTCTCTGAATCATGATATGTTAGGAACAAGTATGAAAGAAGATTTTAGGGTAGAAACATACAAACAAGCGCTTAGATCATGGAAGTGATTGGATCCAGGAAGATGGATTTTAAACAGAACTGAGGAAGAGGAATGAAAAGTATTATTAATAATTCGTATGTACTGTCACCATTATAAACAATTTACACACATCATCCAATTAGATCTTTCAAGCAATCTTATGGAGTAGGAACTGATATCTCCTGTCTCGTCCATTAGTGAATTGAAATTCAGAAATGTGATTTCCTAAGACCATGAAGAAAGCAAGTAATAGAGGCAAGATTCTGACTCAAGATTATTTGCTTCTACAACTCATTAAAAGATCACTGAAATAACAATGTTCTGCATGTCTTGCAGAAGAAGACAAGGGAGGCTGCTAATAGCTCTTTAGGAGGATAGCTTAGTGATTTAGGTATAAGATAAAAAGAACATGAATTAAGGTGATAACAGTAAGAGTGAAGATGGAGGGTAATTTCAAAAAAAAAATCTGTAAAGGGCTCTTAAAATTGTAATCAGTAAAATGAAAGAGGAAATGAATCTTTATGAATAGGAATAAATCAGTCTTTGAAGGCAGTTAATTTTTGCATATTTTCCACTAAACTTTTTGAAGTCATACCTTGAAGTGTCTTCTTCCAGGAAGAAAAACATAATTTACAACTAGAGGAGAGGATCATTTTCCCGAACCTGATAGGTTTGTTTTGGAGACACTTATCAACACATGAACACTTCTCAAGGCCCCCTGTGAGGAACTCTTATCCTAGCAAGTGATATGGTCTCACAGGATATGAACATCTAAAGAAATGTACTTCAGATACTTTCAAATTATTCAGTTCAAATAAACAACTGATCAGTTGGATATATGTGTTATAAAAAACCGGATGGTGACATTTCAGTAAATTCTGGATGATCTTTTTGGTTTCCAATCAGCCTAAGTCACAAACAATGAGTAAGAAACCAAGGGATGTAGAAAATACAATTATGTCTTGTCTCACTTTCTTTTTTATGTGTCTTGCTATGAATCTTAATAAAAGCATACATATCAATAAAACTGATAATTGAGAAAATGATAAAGTAGGTGAAGACTATATTTGTGCAATATCTTCCAGTATAAGCATTTTTGTTTAGCTTTTTTGGAGTAATATAATGCTTAAAGAGAATATTGTTTTATATGTAAAGACAAATAGCATATGTTTTGCCTCATGTATAGACTCTAGACTTTTTT